AAAGTAGATTGCTCAAACTTCCTTCCAAGGAGTGGCTGGTGGGTTTGAACCACCAGCCTTCTGGTTAGCAGTCAAATGCCTTAGGCACTATGCCACCAAAGCTCCCCATTAGCCACTAGAGAGATGCAAATCAAAACAACAATGAGATACCATCTCATCCCAGCCATAATAGCAAAATTCAACAAGACAGAAAGTAACAAATGCTGGTGAGCTGCAAAGAGATTGGAATTCTCATACTCTGTTGGTGGGAATGCAAAATGGTACAACCATTGTGGAAAATGGTATGGAGTTTCCTTAAAAAATTGAAAATAGAAATACCATTTGATCCAGCAATTCCTTTACTAGGAATATATCCTAAAGAGTTGAGAGACAGGACATGAACAGACATGCACACTCATGTTCATTGCAGCACAATTCACTAAAGCAAAGAAATGGAAACAACCTAAATGCCTATCAACAGATGATTGGATAACCAGACTATGATACACTCACACAATGGGATACTATGCAACATTAAAGAATAATGAGGAATTCACGAATCATCTCACAACATGGATGTTAGAGGACATTATGCTGAGTGAAACAAGTTAATCACAAAACCAAAAAACCAAACTCACTGCTGTCCAGTCAGATCCAACTCATAGCAACCCCTCCTTGGGTTTCCGAGGCAGTGTCACTATGGAAGTAGATTGCCCAACCTTCCTTCCAAGCAGTGGCTGGTGGGTTTGAACTGCTAGCCTTCTGGTTAGCAGTTAAATGCCTTAGGCACTATGCCACCAGAATGCCCAAGCACAGAAGGACAAATATTGTATGAGCCCACTGTTGTAAAAAAGTCAAAGAAAGTTTATTCAGAGAAGGAAATTCACTTTGTCGGCTACCAGGGACAGGTGGGAAGTGGAGGGAAAATCTCGGACTATTTGGGAATCACATGTTGATTTGGGTGAGGGGAGGAACATACGGAAAGAGTCTGTGACCAGCATGGTGACGCTGGGGAAAGTAAAGACACCTAAATGCACACAAAAGATATAGACAACAGAGGCAAACACTACTACAGGCACAACACTGCAGTATCACTAGCACCAAATACCAGGCTATGGATTAAAGCATAGGCAGGCGAGAAGAGCAGGTGGGAGTAGGCCAACAAGAATACACCCTAGACCAAGGATAGATTTGGCTGAAGATAATCTTACATATGCACTTGTGCTATAAAATTAGCAACATACATTACAGAAGCAACAGAAGACAGGGTGGGAGTAACTTTGCATAGACAACCAAGCATCTTGTGAGAGAGAATCACTGGGTCTGAGGGGTCAGGACCACAGTCTCGGGGGACAGCATGCTCAATTGGCACACACAGTTTATAAAAATTTTGTTCTACAACCTAATTTTTTGAGTAGCGACTGGGGTCTTAAAAGATTTTGAGTAGCCAACTAAGATGCAACTGTTGGTCTCCGCTCGGATGGAGCAAAGAAGAGTAAAGAAAATCAAGGTCATCTGGAAATAATTAGTCCAAAGATGAGATGGACCTCAGCTTCTATGACATGAGACCAGAAGAACTAGATGGTGCCCAGCTACCAATACCAACTGCTCAGAAAGGGATCAAACCTAGAGATACTGGATAGAGTGGGAGGACAAAGGTGGAACAAAATTCAAAAACACAAAAATGACGAGACTTGCTGGTAAATGGAGACTGGTGGAACCCTCGAGACTATGGCCCTGGGTTACCTTTTGAGCCTGGAAATGGACTCACTTATGTAACTGGCTCTCAGCCCCAAAATAGAAAGACCCACAAACAGAACACCTTCCCCAGGTCGATGCACCCACCTACTCTAGGGCTATGCAGCCCTTGGATCAAGCAGGCATGGGACACCAGAGGAATAGCATTCACATAGATGGAAGGCTGGAAGGACAGGAATGCATGGATGAGAGGGGCACAGGGAGGGAGTGGTCATGGGTAGGAGAGGGGAGGAGAGTTTCTTAGTGTCGGGGACAGTAATTGGGGCCAAGAGACCAGATGTGCATGAACTGTTGCAAGTAAAACAAGTTTGCTGTGTAAATTTGCACCCAAAGCACAATAAAAATAAATAAAATAAAATAAAAGACTGACAGCTTTGGAAACCCTAGAAGGCAATTAATTCTAGTCTATTCTACAAGGTTGCTATGAGTCAGAATTGACTCAATGGCAGTGGGTGGTAGTTAAAGCAGTGCCAAATAAAATATTTATCACATTAAATGAAGATATTAGAAAAGATGAATGGCTGAAAGTTAATGAGCTAAGTAAGCATCATCTCAAGAAGTTAGAATATGAACATCAAATTAAACCTAAAGAAAGTAGAACAGGGATTACAAAGCAGAAATTAATGAAACAGAAAAGAAACATACAATGAAGACTATCAGCAGAGCCAAAGGTTAGTTCTTTGTTATTCAGATATCTCAGACATTATAAGCGTCTTCATGGATGGAGTAGAAAATATCTCTATTTCTCCGTTTTGTTTTTCCTCACTCTCTTTTTCTCTCTAGACTCCCATTGCATCATGGTTATAAATGATTCAATTAATATTATTTAAATAAGTGACTTTAGTCTGTGAACCAAAGAATAAACTGTTAAGCAGAAGCAAACTTCAAATGGGGTGAAAATTTGTGCATGTATCTGTGTATGTGTGCGTGTGTGAGAGAGATAGAGACTATATCATTGCATCAGGATAATGAATGGGAGTTAGCCTGTTTTCCTGAAATTATTGACAAAGCCCCAGAATTGAGGTCAAAGAGGTGTTAAGTTCCACATAACTGGGGTCAGACATCCTCATCAGGGATTAACTAAAAGAGAGTAAAACCAGACTCACTATAATCAACCATGATTCTCTAATCCAGGGGTCAGCAAAGCTTTTTGGTAAGGGCTCAAATACAAAATATTTTAGGTTTTGTGTATCATACAATTTCTATTGTATCTACTTAACTCTGCTGTTGTAGTGCAAAAGCAGTCACATAGAGTATGTGAGTGTAACTGTGCTCCAATAAAACTTTATTTACAAAACTAGGGAGTGGAGTTAATTGGCTTAATAACATATTTAGTACTTGTATTCTACAGCCTGTGAGTTTGGTTTTCTGGTTTGGTTCTACAGCCTAGCTTGTTATGTAGTGTCTGGGGTCTCAAAAACTTGCAAGCAGCCATCCAAGGCACAAGAATTGGTCTCTACTCACTTAGACCAACAGAGGAAGAATGATGGTCAGAAATTGGAAGAGGATATGGAATGTGTGGCTAATTGCCTCCATGAACAATTGCCCTTTGCCATGAGACCAGAAAAACTGGATTTTTCTACCATTACTCAACATTTTGACAGAGATTCCATGCAAGAATCTTGATCAAAAAGGGAAAAATGTAGAACAGAGTTTCAAATTCTCATGGAATCTAGTCTTTCTGGAGCCATGGAGGCTGCACGAACCCCTGAAATTACGGCCCTGAGATTATCTTTAGAACCAAAATATCTCCTGAAGTCTTCTTAAAACCAAATGATACTTTAACTTAACTAGTAAAGAATGTCTACCTTAAGCTTTGTGCTCTTTTAAGATCCATCTTATGAGATCAAACAGACAACAGAGACTTGAAAGATAGGAACCTTAAGGGGCAAAGAGTTTATGTTAATGGAGGAGGAACAATTTGGAAAAGGAGGGTGAGAATGGTTGCACAACTCGGATGTCCCTGAACTGTACATGTTGCACTGGTGTGTGCTTTGCTGTGTATACGGTGTGCAGGCCTGATTTATACCATTGGCTACAGTTTGTCAACCCTGCTTTTATCATTTCCCTCTCCCTAATATAAGTCTAAGACTGAAGAGCAAGGGAGTGCATCATTATAGTTGTGAATTTTCAGCCCAATGGGAATGCTACAGATGACCCCACTCTCCACACCAAAGCCAAGTGAGGGGGCCAAGAGAATCACTTGAAAAATGAGAGGGTGTGCACAAAGGGAAGAAAGGCATGTCCTACTCAGGTTAGGCCTTTACCCAGGGAGTGAACTAGGAGCTATGTACTTTGGCTATGTTGGCAGGGGAAAGAAGTGCAGCGAGCTGGCAGGGCAGAGAAAGGTGGCAAAACAAAGAGGAGCAGCAACTGGTGGGTGTGACAGAGACTTGTGAGAGTTCCCAGTCTCCCGGGGACACAATAGAAGGGAAAGTAAACTTGATTAGTTCTGCCCTAATTTTGGTAGCATAGTGGCTAAGGCACTTGACTGCTAACCAGAAGGCTGGCGGTTCAAACCCACCAGCCACTCCTCGGAAGGAAGGTTGGGCAATCCTACTTCCGTAGTGATACTGCCTTGGAAACCCAAGGAGGGGTCGCTATGAGTCAGGGCTGACTTGACGGCACATAACAACAACAACAACAACAATTTTATCCAAGAGAGCTTGCAGCCTGGTCAGAAGATGACTCAGTCAGTTGCTAAGGGAAGCTGGAAGCATTTAAGTCAGAGCCAGACCTCTGAAGTCACAGAACTCAGGCAGTAGGGAGGTTGCTAGGCTCTCCCAAGGGCCCCAAGGGAGTGTGGTTGGTGACCTGCCATCCAGTAGTCTCTACAGGCAATTATGTAAGAGAAGTAGCCAGAACCAAAAAGGCCTTGCTAGTAACCAGACAAGTAAGAGACATTCACTTGTGTCTTCCCATGAGAGAAAGGCCAGGAATGTCCCAGAGACAACCATGTTGTTGTTGTTGTTATATGCCGTCAAGTCGGACCCGACTCATAGTGACCCCTCCTTGGGTTTCCAAGGCAGTATACTACAGAAGTAGATTGCCCCATCTTCCTTCTGAGGAGTGGCTGATGGGGTTGAACCACCAGCCTTCTGGTTAGCAGTTAAGTGCCTTAGGCACTATGCTACCAGAGAAACAACCATGTATCTCTCCAACTCATCTTCATCATATACTGTAATGTGAGGGTGGGAGTGGTGAAGTTAAAGAATAGACCTTGTCTTCCCACATTTTAGCTTTCTTCCCTTCAGGAATCTGGAAGGGGGGGCAAACAAACAAACAAAAAAATTCACTGCTATCAAGTAGGATCCAACTCATAGTGACCCCTCCTTGGGTTCTGTGGCGGTATCTCTACAGAAGTAGATTGCCCAATCTTCCTTCCAAGAAGTGGCTGGTGGGTTTGAACCTCCAGCCTTCTAGTTAGCAGTCAAATGCCTTAGGCCCTCCGCCACCAGAGTGGCAGAGGAGTGGAAAGGTTTAAGTTAAAATGAGATTGGAGATTAAAAGGAAATGTATTTTACTAACTGAAGGTGATTTGGGAGTTATGGAATATGCTACTAGGTGCTAATACGGAATCTACTCTGCGGAAGAAAATGATAATTTATAATAGCCCATTTGAAGGCTGTGACTGCTTTGGGGAAATGCTTCAATACTCCCGGGACTGAGAGTGTTCAAAAACCAAATAGCCAACTATAGTACACCTCACCAATCCAGAGTCTACTTAGTTAGCCCTAGAGAAGAAGACAGTACATATGTTGACAAGTGCATTATCCACAACATTTGGACTAAATCATTGCCCTTACTATGTGGCAGAAAACACAGAGTCAACAAATTGGACACACACACATGGACACTTGTTTAAATAAAGAAATTAGCCAAATGGTAAGGGGAAGGTGATTAGATTTAAAAAGAAAAAAATAGTTTGAATAAAGTTCTGACATGTGTAGCTGTATGACTTCTCATCCCATAGTAAAAAAAAAAAAAAAAAAACTCATTGCTGTCAAGTTGATTCCACCAAAAAAAAAACTCACTGCCACCAAGTCATAGCAACCCCCTTTTCGGTTTCCAGGGTGGTAAATCTTTACAGAAATAGATTGCCCAGTCTTCTTTCCATGTGGTGCACCATGATCATGTAGTGGTTAGTACTCTGCTTTGTGGCTGGAGCAATCTTGGTTTGAATCCGAGTCACGGCATGTAGTTGCTTCTCATAGCAGGTAATATTAAAGATGCCTCTGGAATCAGAACAACTACTTGGCTTTCAATTTGTCATCCTGGGTGGCTTGCATGCTGCTATGATGCTGGAATCTATGCCACAGGTATTTCAAATACTAGCAGGGTCACCCATGGTGGACAAGTTTGAGCATAGCTTCCAGACTAACAAAGACTAGGAAGAAAGTCCTGGTGATCTACTTCTGAAAATCAGCCAATGAAAATCCTATGGATCACCACAGAATACTGTCCAGTATAGTCATGAAAAATGAGTCCCCTAGGTTGGAAGGAAGTCATCCAACTACACAATAGCCACAACTATAGACTCAAGAATACCAGCTATCGTGAAGGATGGGAAATATTTCATTCTGTTGCTGGGGATTCCAGGAATTGGAGCCGAATCAATGGCAACTAACAACAATGCATGGAATCAGAAAGACTCTGGTTTGACTTCTGTCTTTGTCATTTAGTAGTTGTGTGACCTGGACATAGAATTTATTATTCTCTCATAGCTATTTGTCTCTTCATTATAAAATGGGAGATAACACCTCATAGACATAACACCTTCTAGTTTGTGAGAATTCCGAATTCATTCAACTATATCTATATCTATATCTATATCTATATCTATATCTATATATGTATATATATAT